TATTGTTTTTAGTGAATAACTTACTAATTGGAACCATTTCCAGAGTGTTTTTGTTAATAAGCAGTCACACAATGTCAAGTTTTTCTCTGCTCTAAATAAGTGCCGGTGCCGGTTTGTGTGTTTGTAAACAATAATAGTTTCTGGACCCAAATTTGTTGTGTTTCGAAGCTTAAAAAGTGAACAGTTATGTTTTACTGGTACCTACGTACCCTCAAATTTTTGAATTTAATAATTTATTATGCCGAAAACGTGCTGTGTCCCGGGATGCAATTGATGCAAATCCAATTATGAGAGTAGCCTAAAACAAGGTAAGACAGCTGTTTCTACCTTTAAATTTCCAAATGATGGTGATTTAAGAGAAAAATGGGTAAAATTAATCCCTAGGGATAACTGGACACCATCAAAATATTCTGTTGTTTGTGCTTTACACTTTTCGGAAACAGCTATTATTTGCAAAAATGATTATCTATCACTAAAATAGGTATAGTTTGGTATCCAACCACATCTGTTTAAATTTGAATTCATATTGGACCTACCTAGGTGTATGTTTCTGCTTCTTTGTATAATTAGTTAGATGATTACTCGATGATTTAGATTTGTTCTGTTTTGTAAAAATGTTGCTAGAACTTGCCCTCGAACTGGGCCTCAATAAAAAGTACTTTTTTTCTATAAATAAAACATTTACATTAAAAAAATATATATATATTTTTTTTCCATAACCCTTGTTAAACTGCCAAATTAAACTGCAAGGACGCGACGCAACACGCGACGACGGTCCTACCACCAAGTGATTGATGATGCAGTGTTGCCACATGTTTTTTCATGGCTGGATACGTAAAGAGGGTTGTGTCATGTGTTGTGGATAGGCAAATGCTGTCAAATTTAAATTAAAATATCCGCCACGAGGCACACAAACTCCTTGTTTGCTTGTCAAAGTCACGTGTTTTGGATAAGCTAATAGTTTTTTACCTTAACCACACAAAATTTTGTCGCTGAAAAACCATCATGTTGGTTTTGCCCAGGTAGGAACAGGTAGAAGTTTTGTCAGTAGGAAACCGGCCGTTCCTATGACATTTTGCCAGTGTAAAGGTAGGCGAAACGAAACTAAACTGTGGTCAGCTGTGCTAGACGAAGCTAACGGTTAGGTACTAAACTAAACTAAGTTTGAGCGGCCACTGGGAACGTTTTTCGTTTAGTTCTCAGCTGTGTTTTCATGCGTAAAGACCTATAAATTTATTTAAAAAGTTAGAATGAGTCCTGTTGCAACAAAAATGGATCTGTATTCAAAGTTAGCATCTGTAGAATCCTACTTTTTATGTGCAAACATAGTGGAAAGTAGATAAATAATAAATTCGCAGCAAAAAACTTCGTTCGAATCTGACACGAGCTAAATCGAATGAAACGAAACTAAGATTTTATTCTTCGTTTAGTTTAGCTAAAATGGCCGAGGGTATATTTGAGAGTATGGTAACTAATTTACTGAACACTTATCTTCGCTTAACTTAGTTTCGTTCCGCTCGCAGTGGCCGCCCGCCTTGAAACACTCCAGTGAAATAGTCAAATAAAAATAAGTAATAACTTCTATAGTGAAATCCGAATAATTTGGCATAATAGGCAATAAAATATGCAAACCAATCACAATTAAGAAACCCGCCCTAGAAATGTGAAAAGAAGTACATTTTTGTTTTCACATGCTTTAAATATAGTACAGTAAAAAAAGACAAGTACTTTTCCTTATCGCTTAGTATCGACACCCTGAATATGGGGTTTCACGTTTGCAAGGTTGGTGTGTACCTAGAGGTACCAATGGGACTCTACCTGGGATGCCTGTATGAAGTAGACAAGCGGTGAGAAACAGTAGTTGTCTCTTTTTACTTTACTTTCTTTATAGCATGTGATAACAAAAACGTATCTACGTCTTTCACGGTCTTTCACATTTCTAGGGCGGGTTTCTTAATTGTGATTGGTTTGCATATTTTATTGCCTAATATTCCAAATTATTCGGATTTCACTTTACCTTAAAGTTTTACCTTATTCTTAGGGTATGTGCATAACGGAGCTGTGATATAAGCTTGTAGCCTGGATGACAGATTATAGCTGAAATTATAAGAGTTTGTAGGTGTACACAACAGAACTGTGATTTATAGCCTTTGAACAACTTCATCTCGCATTTTCTGACAATACTATACTCACTCAATTAATCAAAAACGGTTAGAAATAGGAGATTATCACCACATATTATGAGGATGTGAATAGATAACCTGAAGCTGGTGATAGTTTTTGTCAATATTTGAGAATGGAACCATCTACTCTTCGATACATTTTAAGTAAAATTAAAGACATGTTGATGACTGGGCATGCACACCCCTTGTCAGCTGGTTTCTGCTCGAAGTAAGAATGGTAAAATTAATTCTAGTATGCTATAAGCGATCATCCAAGCTACTCACTGCTCCGATATGCACGCTCACATTTAAACTATTAGGTTGCAAAACTGGGCAAACCTAATTTAATAATAAATACACAAAAAGGTGGCTGAGGTACTCCAATAACCAACATCGAGCAACTGGAGCTTCGTTTTTAGGGTGTTCGACTAACTCTCAACAGCGGAGAGTGGGGTGGGTGAACATCAAAAACGCGCCACCTATTTTACTTCCCTGCAGTCAAACGAAGCTACCGATTATAAACTAAAAACAGGAAACACTCAATCCTAATTGGAAGCACTGCAAAAACCTAAATGGGCATAACAAAATAATATGAAATGAAAGCGCTTAAAATTTACTCTGGTGCAGGATTTTTATTTGCCATAAGAATAATGTATTGTTAAAGGCAGCAAACAGCTGATATTCGCCAAAATTGAATTATTTATCTAATAACTTTTAAAAATAATAAAGAATCTATCAGTAAACTTAAATTAGACTGTGATAATATTGGCCATAATTACATCACATAACCAATATAAAAACTAAAATTAGTAAGTACCTACTACTTAGTTAAAGTAATTAGGTGAATTAAATGGTGTAATCAGGGATAATACCACGAGAGCTTCAAAATTACCGATAATTTTTTACGATTGCGTGTTTTCTTTAATTTCACGAGTCCGTAGGACGAGTGAAATTTGCAGAGAAAACACGCACGAGTGAAAAATTATCTGGTTCATTTTAAAGCTCAAGTAGTGTATGGAGGATTATTTCACGTATGAGAATGCAAAAAAATATGGAAATAAATATGTATTAAACGATTTGAATATCTTAACAATCAATACAAATAAATGGTTGCTATCAGGAACCGTTTGTTTGTATCAAAAATTAGCATGACAACCATGTATACAATAACATGGGATAATTTTCGCTGTAATTCTCTCTAGTTAAACAAATGGAAAAAAGAATTTTCGCTGTAATTCTGAAAATCGTCACTTGTCTTATGGGATTTGTAACACATGAGTGGAATAATCGTCAATATTCCAACCAAAGGGGTGGTTTTTGAAATTCCCAAACCTAACCTTACATTCTGGTTCATCATGGTTATCAAATTTTTTAATTAATTTCCTAATTACATTCATTGAGTTCAAATAAGTGAAGGGTGATAATTAAGTACGCTTCACGCCTCTTGAATCAATACCAAAATACTAAAAATACCGTCGTAAATGGATCCATTTTACCCTGGTGTAAAATCTGTTTTTTTTTAAGATAAATGTCAAAATCACATTATGTTGGCAATACAATGTAAAATTGTCGATGCTTTCAAATTTTTCATGTAGAAAAGGCTTGTATTGCCAACATAGTTACTAAATTTTTGACTTGGGGAATTATCTTAAAAAAAAAAAAAGACTTTACACTAATTGCGGATTGTGAGCGTTAGACGTATGTGATTACACTAATTTCGACTACTTGGAATGTTCCAGGAAATTAAAATAATATGGTAAGTAAACGTAAAATTAACTTAATTTAAACCTAAAGGATTATAGTGGTAAGGCTATAAATATTGGAAAGTAGGTACAGTGGTTGCAGGTGAAAGGCTCCAGCTCCCAATAATGAGATGGTGACACCCTTAATACAGACGGGGTGGCTGGTTCCCAAAACGGCACAACAATACGCAAACCTGATGATGTAGTGATTTGATGGAGTGATACTACTAGGAACCTCTTGGGGGACGATTGAGATTCATAGGCCCCAGAAGCTCCACAAGCAATCTATCAGGTTCAGGATTGAGCATCAGCAATTCAGCAATCAGGTGCCTTTGTGCATTGTGTTGTTAGCAACAGCAAGGGCTGTCACGTTACCTACCCAATATAAAAGGCCAATGTGGATTGGTCTTTTCGACGGAAACCTCTGCAAAAATGGGGAAAGCAAATGCTGATTTACCTGATTCCTACAGAACAGAACACAGAACAGAGAACAAAATAGTAAAAACTCAAAAAAAATTGGTAGTTATTTTGCTTTATACGATATTATCTTATCTCAAATCAATCTTATTTTCAGAGATCGCCAGAAGCTGTGGATGTCTTCATGGATAATAATTATTGTAACTGTTATGTGAAATATATATTAAAGATTTTATACTTATAGTTCCCTTTTTTCAGTGCTAGACAAAATCAGGCAAGGACAGAGTACTAAAAGACCAAAGGCATCAGCAAAATATGTCGAACAATCTCCTAGCTTGATTGACTGAAAATTAGACACGTAACAAAACCAATGATATAATTCTAACCATCGATCATCCAGGCTATCACAGCTCCGTTGTGCATGTACCCTTATAAGTTATGACTTGCAAGGTACCTAATACTTGTTTTTATTCAATAGACTTTCAAGAGAGTCAACTTGGGCAGTAGAAAGAGATGCATAAGAATAAAAATACCTTCGAGAATACTCCAAATTATAGATGGTTAACAACGAATTAATAAACTAATTAATTGACCGCTTACGTAGAAACATACAACATTTTACGAAGAATTCAGCAATATCGATTCTATCTACATATAAATCAATAAATAATATTATACTTATATTTTGTGGATTTGTATAAATGTATATTTCTAAGTAATGTAAAATATATTATAATTTATTTGGGAAACGTGTCTAAACCGGTATTTAGGGAATAGTTCCTGTACATTCCGCTTTTGGACAATGCAGTGGAGAAATCCTGTCTATTAGGAAAAAATGACGTTGGTACTGTATGAATGGTTGGCGGGTATCTGCAAAGAAAAAAAAAATCCAACTTCTTTGCAAAAAACAAATTCAATTCTACCTTCCATAATCACTAGACGTTGTCCTATAAAAAGGATGGTCCGGAGGTCTCCTCTGAATCCCATAACCATAAAACCAACTAGGATATTGAAACCTCTTCGGTAGCTCACATGTGTGATAAAAGTCTGACGTTTTCAATCTTGGCACCGCTCTTCCCGCGGGATCTGGGCAATCTACCATATTTATAATGAACGCGTAAAATTCTTACAAAAAGTCAATACGGCAAAAGGAAAAAAATCGTGTTTTTCGCGAATCCTTTTATAAACCTACTGACTGACAATTTAATTTGAAAGGAAACGTCAAAAACCACGTGAAAATTTCGCGATATTGATCAATCGTTTTCCATGGAAACTGGAAAACGGCGCCTCGTGGGTGGAGAGGTCAGGTCATGGAACGTTACGGGGGGGTTTCAGGCCCCTGGAGATGATAATTTGAAATTCATTAGTTTTTGAATTTGTGATTGGTGAGTTAAATTATTATTTATTTGAATGATGAAGGGAAAGGTCCATATTGGATTTTTTTTTGTGCTAGAATAATTGGAATCCATTTTTGTTGACTTATATAATAACAAACATGATAAATTATACTGTGGGTTTGCATACGTACCCACTATTTCAAATTGAATAAATTTTGAAGACCGACCAGATATACCTCAAGATACTGCATATATCCCGTTATATATCAAGACATAACAGAATCGAAGCCCTATATACTCTAGAGGGTTGTTTCATATTAACTTGATAGATTACATTCCGATGCAATTTTCTGGAAAATAATGCATTTTTGAAGCAGAAAGGTTTACAATATCGTATGAGAAAAATCCTTTTTAATGCATAACAAAGTAGACGTGGAAGGAAAGTTGATACTGAGCCCCTTTGTTATAAGTAGGTATATTGAATTTTTTGAGACCTACCTACATAAGGTATTATGTTAGAAATAATTAACCTAAATTTTACTAAACTTCTTCTAAGCTGGATTGATCAGACAAAATATAATGTTATTTATGAACATAAATACAAGCCTGATTCCCGATTAGTCGGTTTTCCAAAAATTGGTCAATTTTGTTAGGTTCTGGTGAACTTCTAAATAGTTTTGTTAGGTAATACGTTCTATAGTTGTTGTTTGAATCATGTTTGTGTCGAATGCTTCCGCTATTTCTAAGAAATATAATTATTTGTTCCTTTATCTAGAAATGTCGAACTCGTGTCGGCCATAAATAATGTTTGTAGGCGACTGTCACAAAAAGATTAGTTTTACGGATCCGGATTATCATCCCTAAAGTATATCTTTTTTGGCCGCATTTACTTTACGGCCGGATTTACTTCACGGCCGCATTTGCTCTATCACTTTACGGCCGCTTTTAATTTACGACCGCATTTACTTTACGGCCGCTTTTACTTTACGGCCGCTTTTAATTTACGGCCGCTACTTTGGTGAAAATATGCATATAGACAGACAATCGAAAACGCGGTGCCGTAACCATCAACACAACCAATAAACAATTAGTTAGCAACCACAATGGAACCAAATTTTTGATTTTAGCCCTATCCTATTACTTTTTTAAAAAAGCACAATGTAGGATACCAGGCGAAAAAGTCGGCAATTTTCTATAATCACACTTCCTTTATCGTAGTTTTTGTTACTAATAATTATGTATCTACCTATCTTTGCTGGATTTTTTATCTAATCAATAAAAGTTTAAAGCTACTGTTGAATTTTCATCTTTTTTCCAGAACAAACACTCGCCTAAAAAATTTTGTGTGCACCTCGGCCGAATGACCTTTTTTGGCCTCACCTGAAATTTGCTTGGCCTCGGCTACGCCTCGGCCGCAAATTTCTGATTCGGCCAAAAAAGATCAACTTTACGGCCTTGGTACACAAATAACTATTTTTATATGAATCTGTCACTTGGCACAACAATATAATTACTTTAGCCTTGCTTTTAATATTTTTCTTTAATTTATGGGTTTATTCTCAGTTTCAGGAGTCTCGCGATGTCGTAAGACTGGTAGGTAATTCTGAAATTATGTATTACACATTCCAATTTTTAGCTTAGAAAAAAATGCAATATTTTAAATAGTTTGTACCATGTCGCTGGAAATCAATGCTTAATTTTTTTGGATCACTACCAATTTGTAAAATTTGATTGGCTAGGTAAGACAAATCAGTTGGTATTGAGCTAATTTACAATATATTATAAAATAGACTTCAAGATGTCCGGAAATTGACTGCCATGTCGTTCTTATACGAGTGTACAGTGAGTTACATTTCCAATGAGGGCAGGTAGTGACTTTCATCAGTTTCATACCCTGTATTTTGGAAACGACGCACTTCCGACCATCGGTGTCCTATCTCAAACTACTTCTCCATGGTTCCTCTATGTACCCTAGCATTTTTGACCAGTTGAACTGGGACACCCTGTATGTATATTTAGAACTGGAAAAATATTAGAATGTTGGATGAAAATTAGCAAACAACGTGGCATGTACCGTCCCCATATTAGGTTAGGTTAGGTTGGGTTATATAATAGTATATTAAATACCTAGGTAGAGAAGTTAGTCATTATATACCGAGCGCTTTTATAAACCGAGGCGCGAAGCGCCGATGTTTAAAATGCGTAAGGTATATAATGACTTTCTCTACCGAAGAATACCTATATAGAATTTTTTTTGAACGCCTTCTTGAAAGTGCTGCCCTCTATCAACAGCTTATGGTAACTTCCTATGTACAGGGTGTTTGTTTATACAGGGTGTCCCACGGTGGATGGCGTATTAGACGTTTATGGAGAACTAAAAAGCGGATCATATTGAAAATTTGGCAACCGGGATAAACGACCATAATCTACACTTTAAAAATATTTTTGTTTATGCGGTGTTGCCGCTTCTACTCTTAATCAGTGGCAACATCGCTATTTTAAATGGAACGCCCTGTATGTGATTGCATATTTGGATGCTACGTAAAATTCTGAACAGATTTCATGTGATATACCCTATACCTAAGTTCAACTATTTCGGAAATATTGACAGTTGAAAATTGAGTTTTTGCAACTTTGACAGGTTGTGAAACCTAAACGGTTAATTTTAGAGGAACACCGATTTAACATTCCTATCTTAAATTTTCATAAACTATCATTTGACACCAACTCTGAATTTAACCGGAGATTAAATTTAATTGGAATTTTTAATCATGGATTAAATTCAAAGTTGGTGTCAAATTATAGTTTATAAAAATCTAAGACAGGAATGTAAAATCGGTTTTCCTCTAAAATTAACCGTTCAGGTTTTACAGCCTGTCAAAGTTGCAAAAAGTCAATTTTGAACTGTCATTATTTCCAAAACAGTTGAACTTAGGTATAGGTTATATAACATGAAATCTGCTCAGAATTTTACGGAGAATCGAAATATGCAATCACATACAGGGTGTTCCATTTAAAATAGCGATGTTGCCACTAGTTTAGAGTAGAAGCGGCAACACCGCATAAACAAAAATATTTTTAAAGTGTAGATTATGGTCGTTTATCCCGGTTGCCAAATTTTCAAAATGATCCGCTTTTTAGTTCTCCATAAACGTCTAATACGCCATCCACCGTGGGACACCCTGTATATTGACACCCCACCTACAGCCTTTACCTTTACAGTTAGAAGTAAGTTGTAAATACAAAACCTATACAGTTTTGGCCAAATTTTTATAATCCATGGTCAGAAACAAAAATTAAATGTCAGAAATGTGAAATGTTGCATGCTTTCAGCTTTTTTCAAATGGGATGCCCTATATTTGGTTCTATATTCTTAAAGAGCACAATTTCCCGATTCCAAAAATATATAGTCTGTCTATATTTGATTGAGCTGTCTCCAACATATTGGTTCTGAAAATTTTAAAAATACTTGCAGAGAAACCAAGTATATTCTTCAAATTTAACCTACAGCTTTCACCTGTATAGGTAGAATAGTTCACAAAATCAGTAGTAGGATAGTATTTTTACAATTTTTGGAGCCAAATATATAAGAGACTGCTCAACATAATATAGACAAACTATATATTTTTGAAATCAGGGCATTGTGCTCTTCAAGAATATAGAACCAAATATGGGGAATCATATTTCTGGCATTCAATTTTTGTTTCTGACCATGGATTCTAAGAATTTAGCCAAAACCGTACAACTTTTGAATTTACTCCTTTCTTCTACCTGTAACGGTAAAGGCTGTAGGTGGGGTGTCAATATATATAAAAAAAAACATCCTGTACCTACAGAAACCTGTTCGCTTTTTTTCCAATTGACGTATGAAATTGGAATTAAACCAATAGAAACATGACAATATCCTTGCGTCATGACGTCATTTTCATTATTGACCTAGGAATTTTTTCATTATTTTCATAATTCACCTAGGGATAGAAATTCAATTTTCTCCTAGAAAAATAGATTGAATAATGACTATTTCTCAGGTAAGTAGTATTAAAAATCTTTTTTCATGCTGGCATCGATAACTGAACCTAAAAAAAGTTGGGATCAATGGAAATTGGTAACTCTGAGACCTCAAAAAAAAGTTGTGTTAAAAAAAAAGCTTCATTATTATTCTAAATATAGGACCGAGATGCAAAACAAATTTTTCCAATAAGTTTTCTGTTCATTAATTGGTGTTAAATTATTGCTTTGACAAGCAGGAACATCCCCATCTCTTCCGGTTAACAAACTAGCGCAAAGCAAACTTCAACATTCGAAAATTATTCTGAAATAAACCGGACACAGTTCAGCGAGTGGCAATAATAGAATTATATTCTGATTAATGTTGGCCGCCTTGTCACCTTTCTAAACGCCAGTTGATTAATTTCGTCGGGGAGTCGGTAGCATTGTGTTGAACGCGTGTTAATGAGTTGAGGCGCGCAATCTTTCGACTCCGCCAAACTCTACCAACGGAACGGGGACTCGGGTCCCGTTTCGTCCGACTCTCCTTATTTTCTTGTGATTAATTTTCCACCTCATACATCAAGGAGAAAACTTGGGAACTGCGTCTGCTTCGTTATAACGTGTGCTGATGAGATTCGGAAATGTTGCGTCTGAAGTCATATTTTACCGGGTTGTAGCTATTTTTTTTTTTACTGGGTTTGAGACTGAGGAAAACTGGAATGGCTCAATTCCTAATAGCTTGGGGTTCCTTTGGATTTTGTCTACAGTGTGTATAAGCCAAATGGAATAAATTTGATAATAAATAAATGGGGGCCTTTCATAAAAACGCTCGGTTACATCGATTTTGCTTTTTTTTTTTTTGCTTAAAATTCTTATTCTTGTTAGTTTCGTAGCCTCTCATTG